TGGAAGCCGACTTTACCCCTCTCCTCTCTCCTTCGTCCCTGCTGGTCCCGCCCAGCCCTGAGTGGGCTCCCGTTTCCCAGTCCAAAAGAGAGAGATACCCAGTCCCCGAGTCTAGCACAGAGAGGGCTCCTGTTCCCACGTCCAGCCCTGAGAGAACTCTTGGTCCCAAGTTAAGCCTGGAGGCTCACAAATGCCTGCCTACCCACCCTCTCTTGCCTCCTCCACCACTGTCACCTGGCAGCCCCTCTGCTCGCCCTCAGCCCACCATCAGCACAGTGCGAGCTCCGCGGGACTGCCATCCTCCAGCGACGCTGTGGCTGGAGTATCCCTTGACTTCACCTCCAGCCTCTAAGCCCCGGACTCCGCCTCGGCCCATGGAACCGTCGGCTCCACCATGGCTCCCAGCTCTCTCCTCTCCGCCGTGGCCCAGCAGTCCACTAGCTACCCGGGCTCCCTCGTCCCTCTGGCTTTGCCTTGGTCTGGAGTCGACAATCCTGCGCCTCAGGACTCCACTCCTCCAGCTGCGCCTCGTCCCTCCGGCTCCATCAGGCTCCTTCATCCCTTCGGCTCCTCCTCAGTCCTCTGTCGCTCCGGCTACACCGCGGCCTTTCGTATCCACGCTTCCGCATCAGTCGCCGGCGCCATCTGCTCCGCCTTGGCCCTCCAGATCCTCCCCGTCGCCCTGGCTCATCGGCTTGCCGTCTCCTCCTCTGGCTCCTCCGCCGTTGGTCGGCCCCCTGGAGTCGTCGGCCCTTCCTCCTCCATGGCTCCTCCCTCCGTCGGCTCCACTGTCGGCCACCATCATGGGTGTGGCCTGGGTCTTGCTTGGCTCCACCTGCTCCAAGTCCTTCCTGTCGCCTCCCTGGCCCCTCCCTCCATTGTCACCTCCCAGGACTCTGTCTGCCGGCCCCCTCCCAGATGTTCGACCTCCTCCCAAGTTCCCACCTGTGCCCCTGGACTTTATCTGTGTGTTTTCCCTCTCCATTTGCCTGCCCTGACCTAGTTTTCCCATGTTGATTGTTCATTTGCTCCCAGGTCTGTATAACTGCGACAGTATTGAAATATATATTTTCCCTGTGTTTCCTTCCTGCTGTGTGAGCTACTGAAATGAGCCACACTGTGAAACAGCCAATCAGAGCAGAGCTCAACATTGAGCAGCACTTTGAAACAGCCAATCAGAGCAGAGCTCAACATTATTATTCATGACCCTTCCAAATAAGGTAAAAACAGACCATTTAATTCTAGGGAGAAATCCTAGGGTTGTAAATGGACATGTAAACCCGTTTCTGGAGATTTTTGCCTTTAACTTTTAATTTAAAATATTGTATCAATGCATTCTATGGCACCTTTAAATGGCTGTCGGAGTGAACACTCCTTTAAAAGTGAGTAATACATTGATAGGAGTCCTGTTTGAGCTATAACGGCAACTTCATCTTCCTCCCCACATTGAGAGATGAGTGCACCTGCTGGAGTGAAGCGTATATCGGGCATCCTTGATAGCTTCTCCCGCTCAGCCTCATAATACACTCAGCATAATCTTGATACCTTTCCTCTGGCTTCAAAGTGAAGTCCTGACCTCTTAGATTGACATATTTTTCCACAAACTGTGGTTGCTGAAAATTGGCTGACCATAACAGTGCCTTCAAAATGCAGTTCTCATCTTGACAGAGCAATGGAAGTTTTGTCTACATATAGATAGCAGTTGGGTACATATTTTATTGTTGTTGTAAGAGCCTTTTGCCCTATGTAGTTTTCTACCCGGTCTCATGGCAAAAACGTACCTGGGGACTCTTTTTCGCGAGACGCGAAATACGTACCAATAAGTATATATCACTGCAGTTTCCAAAAGAAATTAACACTAGAGGCAGTAAAACTCAGACACCTTTTATATTATTTTCACACAAAGTATGATTTACAAAGTTTCGATTAATAAAGCGTAATTTTCGCACAATTACTTGAAGAGTAAAACACTTGTAATATGCTGGGAGATTTGAAAACTGATGCTTTTGAATGTTAGCACCGCACATATCCAGCTTCATATTAATGGGTTTTCATAGACGATAGGTTTGTTCGGTAGCTCACGGAGTACAGAGACGTACTTAAGAGGTGAGGAACTCTGGTTTGAATCCTGTGTAACTACGGTTCGACAAAACAGTTCAAATCTGCATATAAGGAAGTTAAAATGGAACGGTTGCATCAAAAAAAAAATTTTTTTATATCAGTTTTGCATTTGTTAACACTATCGGGTAGGTTTAGGGTTGGGTTTGGTGAAGGGCATATTTTCAACACGATAGACCATAAAATTTTAGCTACAGTCCCCGGATATTTGAATTCTGAATCGCCGCAATACGTACCTGAAGAAACGTAATAAAAACACAGCAATACGTATCTATATCAACGTAATAAAAACGTGCCAGGGATGACGTATTGAACCCGTGTTTTAGCGCCACTCAGTGGACATTTCACTTTGAAAGTGCAGCGAAACGTGCAGTAAGGTATGTAAAAATGGTGTTGCAGAAAAGTACCCAGAGGTACGTATTTTTATGAGACTGGGTTGGTAGCTTTATAATTTTTTAAAACAATACAGCATAGCTTTTCACCAGTGCACTTATGCTGTTATGTTTTGAACAGATTAGGATACTGCTGTGCTGTTGTCCCCAACATAGTTTTTAAAAGCAGGGTAGGTGATTTGGTTCAAAAATGTTTTTTGTTATGCTGGTTGAAAGTCTCTTCACATTCTAATAGCAATCACTATGTTACATGGTCTAAATGTATTTGTATGTATTTATATTGTCTGTGGAAGATGTAGGACCATAAAATGTTCGTCCAATCATATCCCTTGGTCCGAGGGCTACGATAGGCTGTCCTACCTGCCTGACAACTTATGTATTTGCATACCTCTATGCATCCTGTAGACTCCACACTGACATGATATGTGAGCAGTGCATTCAACCCTCCATCAACATCGACTCTCATCGTGTCATGTGTTTTGGAGGAGGTGTGGCTTTGCAGAGTGATTATGCAGGGAGGGTGGAATCTTATGCTTTCAAAGCTAGCTTGCTATTGCTAACCTCTCCGAAATTGTCGACCCATTCTTTAAGTAAACTACTAAGACTTCATTGGTCATTCAGCCTGTTCAACTAGGTTGAATAGTGTTGCTAGTTGCTGGTGAATAGTATGAGCCAGAATTCCCTGTTTTTTCTTTTTTCTTCTTCCAGCAGGACATACACATTAAGCTCAATTTCAAGACTTATCTGACTGCCTATGGCGGTTTTGAGGCATCATAAATATGTGACCTGTTCAGTGACAGATAAATCCAAAATGGTTGGTAAACTGAGATACATGTCTATTATTAAGAGTAAATAAATAAATAAAATGTTCATTTTATTTTACATATACATACAGAGATTACACTTTTTATTTTATTTTTTTTATTTTTTTATTTTTTTACTTTGAAGTACATTTTAAATCATGATTTTTAAAATGATCTTTTGCCGTGCTTTAAAGAAGAACAAATGTATTTGCATACCTCTATGCATCCTGTAGACTCCACACTGACATGATATGTGAGCAGTGCATTCAACCCACCATCAACATCGACTCTCATCGTGTCATGTGTTTTGGAGGAGGTGTGGCTTTGCAGAGTGATTATGCAGGGAGGGTGGAATCTTATGCTTTCAAAGCTAGCTTGCTATTGCTAACCTCTCCGAAATTGTCGACCCATTCTTTAAGTAAACTACTAAGACTTCATTGGTCATTCAGCCTGTTCAACTAGGTTGAATAGTGTTGCTAGTTGCTGGTGAATAGTATGAGCCAGAATTCCCTGTTTTTTCTTTTTTCTTCTTCCAGCAGGACATACACATTAAGCTCAATTTCAAGACTTATCTGACTGCCTATGGCGGTTTTGAGGCATCATAAATATGTGACCTGTTCAGTGACAGATAAATCCAAAATGGTTGGTAAACTGAGATACATGTCTATTATTAAGAGTAAATAAATAAATAAAATGTTCATTTTATTTTACATATACATACAGAGATTACACTTTTTATTTTATTTTTTTTATTTTTTTATTTTTTTACTTTGAAGTACATTTTAAATCATGATTTTTAAAATGATCTTTTGCCGTGCTTTAAAGAAGAACACTTGTTTAAAAATACCAAAGTGCATGTAAAGTATAATTTTAACTGTAGTTGTATTGTCCAATATTAAAGTTAATATATTTCAAATGTACTAAATTGCAACTGCATCATTACAATGTGTAATAACAAATATATTAAATGCATGACATACACTCTACCACTCTATTTAAACCATAATACATTTTAATTTATAAGCACTTAAGTATATTCTTTCAGGAATAAGTGCTCTTTTTAAAAGTATTCTAAAGTGTGCCTACTTTTTCACAAAGGTATAATTCATTAAATATTAAGAACTATTGAAAAATTGTTTGATCTCATTAAAAATTTACTATTTAATCAGTATTTGTGTGCTCTGATTTGTGTCTGACAAGCTGATGGTTAGCTTAGCAGCATGCTAACTCTAAACTCTGCTTCAAACGTGAAGCTCTATTTGAATCTTGCACAGAGTTGCTGTCTATATAGAGTTTTCCAAATCAGTCACTTATGAGCTTCCATCTGTGTTAGGCTACTGCCATAGACGACAGCTGCCTCACTCGGTTTTGGAACCAAGTCAGGGTTCACATGCCTGGGTACATTCATTACCTTAATCTTATTTACTGCACAGGCCACATATATTAAATTCCCTTTCAGACTCTTTAGGGTCTCATGTTTGGGTGTTCTTAAGAGGTTCAAATAAGCTTTAGTCGTAGAGACACAAGTGTTATGCAAGATCTTCATACAAGCTTCTGCACTTCATCTGGTCCTCAGTCTGGTCCAGTGAATAGATCTCTTGCCAAGAATTGTGCCTTTTTTTTTCTCAGCATGAAGATGCTTTCTTATTTAGATTCTTTGTGTGTGTGTGTGTGTGTGTGTGTGTAGGTGTGGCAGTGTGGAGGAAGTGTGGAGGTGTTGCCCTGTGCCCGTATCGCCCATATTGAGCGCGCCCACAAACCCTACACCGAGGATCTCACTGCCCATGTGCGCAGAAATGCTCTGAGAGTGGCTGAAGTGTGGATGGATGAGTTTAAAAGCCACGTCTACATGGCCTGGAACATTCCACAAGAGGTGAGATCTATTATATCAGCTACTGTACATACTGCTAGAAAGTCATGTTGACATTTACATTCACTTAAGTAGCAGATGCTTTTATCCAACATGTCTTATAAATGAGGAATGCCAAAACACAGTTTATCCAAAGGAGACAAAGGAGAAAAGTTGCAGATTTAGGGGTTAAGTTTCATAGGAGTATTGTTTTTTTATATTGTAATTAATTTGTCAATAATCAAATGTTGTCTATTCAGATGTTTCTGTAAGATTTAAGGGGCGGTCACACTAAAATTTTAATTCCATTGACTTCCATATACTGTATATATATACACATGTGAATGCAGGAGACTGGAAATGTAAACTCATGCGAATTTTGTTGCATTTGAAAGCTTAAATTAGGTGAACTCTGCCTTGCATCTTTAATTTTAATTTCGCTTGAAGACGTGTTACTGATATACTGTCATGGTGCAACATTGTAGCTACCCGCCCCCCCCCCCCCCCCACATGTGGGGAACATTTTAGCTCCCCCCCCCCCCCCCCCCGCAAAATTTAATTATTTAATTTTTGCAGTAAAATGGAGTAGATTGTATATTTTTACGTTCTAGGTGTATTATTTGCTGAATTATTATTATTTGCTTAATTATAAGCACACTAGTTTGTTGCGCCAACAGTTTTACAGTTTACTACACTTTGATATGCTTCTCGTTATTTCCCTACAGCGGCTAATGAATTGGAAGTCTTGCACACTCACAGAAAACAGCTTACTGCCGCATTGAAAAATTAGGTGTATAGGATTGTTCTGGTGACATTTGCAATATTCCACCATCAAGGAACAGTGAACGTGAATGTTCTGGAAAGTGCCTCATTGTTATGGTAGCACAAGCGCCTCTCATTCACAGACCCCAGCAGTCTCAGAGGAAGCATAGATGTGTAAAAGTGAGTGTGTAGGAGGGTGCAGATTTTATATGGCAACATCAGTGGCTTGAATCTGATGTGGGTAGAAATTGGCAACCGGTGTAGCGAGAGAAAGGATGTGTGAAGGGAGCCCTTTTGGGTTCACTGAAGACAAGGTATGCTGCAGTATTCTGGATCATTTTAGGGCTTTTTATTACATGCTGGAAGGCCAGACAATGAGTTAAATTATTTTTATCCAATTATATATCCTTATTAATTTATAATTAATGATATTTGTAAAAATAGCATGAGCTATTAATTGAAATGTTTAATTGACTTTATTGACTTTATATTTTTTTAGTGTTGCTGATAATAATATAAAGAGTGTATGAAATAGCAAGTTGAATAATCTCCTTACTTATGCTGCCCGTAAGAGCATTTTTTAAATGGATCTCTGATAATCTGTCAACGGTTTCAGAATGGCATATGGTGATATATATATATATATATATATATATATATATATATAT